GAAGTGAAGTCCGAGATATATGCTGTAACCACCACCACAGCTGTTACATAAACACAAATTATGCACAATTGATTTGGTCATCTTTATTTCCTACAAATACAAAAGCAAGAGTTATTCTTTTTTTACTGTTGGATTTTAGTATTCTTCCAATACTTGGTATTATTGCCATCTCCTCTTCATCTGTTCTTCATTATTTTGCGAGCCTTCTTGCTGTTGACTGAGTAGAAGTCAAATGTTAATTTAATTACTCTAATTAAGAAATGTAACAGGTTGGATTAGAGAATTTTTAATTATGTGAAAAGATTAGATTACATGAAAAGATTAGATAGAGTACGTGAAAAAAAGCTGCTGCACATTGAAATTGACACTGAATGAAATTTATTTAATACCAAATGTTTGTAAAGTCATGTAGCCTACACCCATGAACATTTTATGCTTAAAGCTTTACCTGATTGAATTGTTTTTGTACTTCATTTTTAGCTGCTGTCACGTTCTTCTTTTTTTGCCCATGGGATACCATGAAAATTAATATTAGTTCAATAACCTACCGTTCTGCCAGTTTTCACCTCTGTTATTATAACAGTGACTAAGAATTAAACATATGCGTTGACTCAAAGTATGCAGACTTCTTTTTGTCGATGCTGTTGCCATGGTGAATCATAATTCCGGAGCTCCATTGATCATGACTTTTCATAGTCCTGGTGCACGCGCTAAAGTCAGAGTCAATCTACTCAGAGTTGACTGAACTAACACAATTCAGCTGTTCTGAAACCGAAAACTCAAGAGTTTCCCATCTCAGGGTAAGTCAACTCAGAGTTCAAGTTTTAACTCAAGTTGGTTGAGAGTTCAAGTTAGTTGAACCTCCTTATTGAAACGGGCCCAAGGTCACTGAAACCTAACATTTTTGAAAACTCCTGCCAGGGTGAAGATTTTCAAAAGCTCCGGTTGCAGTGTTATCGTGTAGACAGTGAAACCGGAGTTTTTGGCTTGTGACGTCGGAGCATGCGCTGTTATCTCCGCCTACTGGAAACATTTTCAGGCTTCTGATTGGCCAACATGGCTTTATGGTTGAGATTTAATTTTGCCACCTGTTGGCTTGGCATGCTCTTGACAGTGCTTCATAGCATGCGTTTGCGTTTTCATGTAGACAGAGATTTTTTTTAAAACGGAAGAAGGAAAAACTGTTTATAAAAATACCAGTGTACGTGTGGACATGGCTTCAGAGTGTTGAAAAGTAACACTGAAACAGTGTTAAAGTTAATGATATAATTAGTTGATTAACTGAATAATGATTGAGCATTAATGAGGAACACCTGCTGTTAACAAACTGAACCACTGAAAGAAAGAGAAACAAGAACAGAAAAAAAGAGATGAGACGAGCAGAAACACAAGAACTACAACTGACTTCAGCTACAGCCTTAGATGAAATCAACACACGATAAAAGAAGACATTAAATCTCTCAAGTTCTCGGCAGAGGTTGATTAAACAACTCCACAAACAGCATTACCAGCTTCACGCATTACTAACCAGGGGTGCGTTTCCCAAAAGCATCGTTAGTTAAGTATGGTCGTTAGTTCCATTGAACTCTATTAGTAACGACGGAACTTGCGAGCAAAGTTGCTTTTCGGAAACGCGCCCCAAATTGATTTTAGATGTTGATGTTTTAGTTTTGTTTGAGTTACCATTATCGAGGTCAGTGTTTGCTTTAGTTGGGCTCTTGACCCTTGACTTTAAAACATTAGTATTTATTTGATTGCAGTAACTGTGAGTTTATTAGACATGTTTGTTATGGCAATCAGATGTTGGTGATTATGTTTCAATAAAGACATTGGTAGTGATGGGTGTTTTCAAAGCACTGCTTCGTGAAGCTTTGAAACTTTTGTGAATCATTTGTTTTCAAAACAGTGGATTTGATTAGTGATGGGAGAAACAAACCTTTTTGAAGCTATGAATCAATTGAACCAATAAAACATGCAAAAACAGCTTTTACAAACCCATTGCAAATACTTTCTTCAAAGTATAATATATTAAATGCACTTTAAATAATAAAATACCATAAAATATGAAATGTCTGTATATATGTGATTTAAAAAAAAAAAATTATTCATTTGCAGGGCTTGTTTAGTTTGTTTTATGGAGAGCTTGTCTAAACAGGCCAGTAAGAGACTATTAACTACCGCTCATCCTTTTAAATACACAAATTAAAAAATGATTCTTCAAAATGATTAAACTGATTCGAGATCAAGTAAAAACCATAGATGCTGGAACTGGCATGATTCATGGGTTCACAGAGATCGCCCCCCAGCGGCAAACCATTAAAATTTCGAAACAGTTATGACGTAACGAAGCCTCGTTTACTGAAATCACATGACTTTGGCAGTTTGATACGCGCTCGGAACCACTGTTTCGGAAAAAAATGATTGACCACATAATAAAAATATTTACTCATACTTGTGCAGTGTGATGTTACTGTCGGATCCAATATATAGTCGGCACAACATTGTCTTTTAATTTCAATCTTTTTGAAAATCCTGTCTAATTGTGCTTTGTTTTTAAATGAATTTGCGATAAAAAGAATTGACCTATCGGTGAGCCCCTCCCCTCGAACGCAGATGAGCCAATGGCATTCGAGTATCAGTTGCCCGGGGAGCAGAACTCGGACATCTTTAGGTTTCAGCGCCATAGAGAAACATTGGAAGATCCGAAGCTTGCATCGGTTAGATGGCGTTTATGCAACGAAAATGGAAAAACGATGTGTCTGCGGTACTTGTAACACTGATTCCAGGTGTCCTGAGAGGATAGGCAATATAATTTATTTTATTCTATTTCCTAAACCCAAACAAAACAGAGCAAAATGTCCCTAAGCATTCAAATCTAAGCCTAATGAAGAAATAAATTTTAATTTTCTGGTTGTCATACTCTCATTAAGTTACAATTTTCATCTGCTCAAGCAGAACGTTAACGTCATCTTGTGCTTCAGGAAGGTATCTCTGGCTAAAACTAGCTAACGTTAAAGTTAATGAGTCCATGCTAACGTACAAACCTAAATAGCAAACTGTTCTCACGTCATGTACAGTGTAGGTCAAAAACACATAAACGAAGGTCTACATTTCAGTGCCTCTCCATATTAAACTGGTTAAATGTACATTAATTTAATCATACCCTGCGATACATAAACAGTGTTGATCCTGCATGTTGTCATCCACGATCGTGACGGCTGTAACATGAGGCTTCTCCTGCTTGCATTGTGATCTGTAAACCCTCGCTTCCAAATTAATCGAGTTACCCACCATGTTTATTTTAAAATCTTTTATATATTTAATTCCCACTTGAATGGTGCTCCTTTTGTGTCTAAAATTGTTCAAAAACATCTTGTGACAAGGTTTTCACACAGACAGCTGTCATTGTAAGACAGTGAGCAGCTGCGTTTGTTTGTCCGAGGGAGCAACAGTAACTAAGGGGGGGCGGGGCTTACCGATAGGTCAATTAAACAAAAGACTGAATACTTACTGACGTGGTCTGGAACTTCATTAAAAATAAAGTTCATCCGAGCTTTCCTAGAAGGAAGGAAGCAAGGCAGGCAATATAAAGACTGTTTTCCACAACTTGGCACTGCACAGTGTCTTGTTTTCTTCAGAGTCATCTTTATCATTTGGTTTCTGCATAGACCTGCGTTTGCATTCCTCGTTATTTACACTACATGCACAAATCAGTGGCTAGTGATGTAGAAGCAGTTGTTGATCTTCTTCTGTGGAAGCGGTGCTTAGCCACACTATTCTTCTTAAAGTGGGAAATTCCACAACCTGTCATTTTGGCAGACTGGCTTTAATATAAGCTGTTTTTAGACTAACGAGAAAGTTTTGAGTTCTGAAACTTACAGGATGTTTTTTAAAATACACTGACCTCTTATATGTCAAAAGATCATAGGGAATTTCAATTTCTCCATTCATGTCCTCTTTAAAATAATTTCTTAGTTTGTGCTTGTGCTGGCAAGTTATAATCTCTGTAGCACTGATCCTGTGTGAGAGAGAAAAGTCGTGCTCATACAAACACACACAAGGAGGTGTTTCTTTTTTCTCCATGTCACACAAACATACTGTCACCATGAAGCTTAAACACAATCTCAGAGATCATTCATGTTCTTCACTCTCTGCAGGCTGTGGGGCTGCAGTATTGAAGAGGAAGGCTGTGCTGCTCTGATTTCAGCTCTGAGATCAAACCCCTCACACCTGACAGAACTGAATCTGAACTATAATAAAACAGGAGACTCAGGAGTGAAGCTGCTCTGTGCTCTACTGGAGGATCCACACTGTAAACTGAAGAAACTACAGTGAGTCTCTTCACATCTCAGTAACTATAAGGTTTCAAGTAAAAGGTAAAATTACTCAGATGTGTTTTCTGTAGCAGTGGTTTTGTTTGTTGTCCTCTCACCCTCAGTTTTAAACCCTTTTATAAATAGTGCCATTGGTAATTCACAGCGTGACGATATATAGCCATATCGCACAGGTACAATTTTGATATTTGGTTTAAACAACAGTTTAACGGCACAATTGTGTAAATACATAAGAAACAACAACAGAGTGTCTTTAAAAACTCTCTTTTGTGCAGAACTACTTTCTTCTGCCTGAGATTCAAATCTCAGTTTGACAGTTTTAACAGCTGAGCCCGAGCCTCGGTTACTAATTTGAAAACGGCACTTTAGAATATATTAATGAACGTTGAGTGAGTGTGATAACCTGCATCTGAGACAGCATTCATTCTTCAGCTCAATCTCATATTCACAATAAAACATTAGTTTGAACGTTTGCTAAAGAAAGCAATATCTTTTTCATACTATCCTTTCATCTGTTAAGGGTGATTTCTGATAACATCGCTGCTCACTCAGTGCATTTCTTGGCTGCATCTTACAAGCTGTTGTTGAAAGTAAAAATAACTTCCTTGTTTGCCACTCTGTTTCAGTCTCTTTCAATATAAAAGTCTGCTGACTCACTCATAAAACAGTCACTTGTCGCCATCTAATGGCGGAACAATGTAACTAAAGCATTCATTCTTCAGCTCAATCTCATATTCACAATAAAACATTAGTTTGAACGTTTGCTAAAGAAAGCAATATCTTTGTCATACTATCCTTTCATCTGTTAAGGGTGATTTCTGATAACATCGCTGCTCACTCAGTGCATTTCTTGGCTGTATCTTACAAGCTGTTGTTGAAAGTAAAAATAACTTCCTTGTTTGCCACTCTGTTTCAGTCTCTTTCAATATAAAAGTCTGCTGACTCACTCATAAAACAGTCACTTGTCGCCATCTAATGGCGGAACAATGTAACTAATCACCTTCATGAACACACGCACCATTTCCTAATACTAAATAATATTATTAAATTCTACTACTATTTACATAAAATATTATTTACTGCTTATGTATACTGAATATTAATATAATAGTAATAATAGTAATAGTAATAATAATGCTTGTTATTATTTAAAATTTTATATACATTTTTATAAACTCTTTTTTAATTTACCACTTGGCATGTTGACAATAACGTATATCTTCAACATTGTCTATGAGATATGTTTTCAGTGGACTTTCAAAATTTGCTTTGCTTGAGAAAACATGAAAATATTCAGTTTCTATGTTTTGTTTTTTCATTGGATTTAGTGAAGTTAATTTTTGGCAATCGAGATATGCCATCTAATGGCGGAACAATGTAACTAATCACCTTCATGTACACGCACCATTTCCTAATACTAAATAATATTATTAAATTCTACTACTATTTACAAAAAATATTATTTACTGCTTATGTATACTGAATATTAATATAATAGTAATAATAGTAATAGTAATAATAATGCTTGTTATTATTTAAAATTTTATATACATTTTTATAAACTCTTTTTTAATTTACCACTTGGCATGTTGACAATAACGTATATCTTCAACATTGTCTATGAGATATGTTTTCAGTGGACTTTCAAAATTTGCTTTGCTTGAGAAAACATGAAAATATTCAGTTTCTATGTTTTGTTTTTTCATTGGATTTAGTGAAGTTAATTTTTGGCAATCGAGATATAACAGCAACAGCGCATTTTTGCCAGCAAACCAAAGAGTACGTGCAACAATCCTGAAGAGTCATAGCAACAGATGAGATACGCCAAAGCAGCGGAGAATCCGCTTGCCCAGAAGCTTCCGTAACTGACGTAGATTTACAGAAAATTACCGGGTTTTTTTTTCAGATAAATCATTTCACATACTTATTCCCAACACTTTATTAAGCTTTAAGTTACATCTCAAATGACAAGGGACCAATTTATAATCATGTTTATATTAATTAGCCTGTGAACTCATTCTCTCAGACGGCCTGGGTATGCGGAGCATTCGCAGCTTAAATCCCAGCTAACAGAATTTTGTTATAAGAACGTTCTCCAAATATTCAGTGTTGGTTCTGGGAACATAAAAAATGTCCAGTTTTCTTGACGTTAGAGGAACATTTTAAAAAAGTATGATGTTCCTCAAACGTTCTTTCAACTTAATTTTGATTTAAAATTCAACATTCTAGGAACGTTGATTTGTAACATTCCAAGAACATAAAAATATCCAGTTTCCTTAATGTTAGTAGAATGCTATTTAAAGGTTAGTATGATGTTCCTGAAACATTCTTTCAATCATTCAAACACCTGCTGTGAACAAGCACTGAAAGAAAGAGAAATAAGAACACAAACTACAACTTTCCACAGCCTTAGATGAGCTGAAAATAAAAGATATTAAATCTCTCAAGATCTGTTTAAACAACTCCACAAACAGCATTACCAGCTTCACTTACAGTATTACTAACCAGATTGACTTTATTTCTGTCACACGTCTACAGAAGTTCTTATTGAGAATTAACAGAAGTTTAAATGTTGACGTCTTACTGAAAATGTTTCGTTTGAGGTCACCATCATGGAGATCAGCATTTGCTTTAGTTGGGCTCTTGACCCTTGATCCTCATCAGCCCGGAGCTGCTTCCGTGTACAACTGTTGGCGCAAGCTACATTAAAGTGATTGTTGAGTTGTTTCTTTTGCAGCAATTGCAGATGTTTTTAGAAAACATTTCTGTGTTAATAAAGCAGATCAACATGTCTGTTTTAATAACAGACAAATGACTGCATTAAAGTAGTTTAAACAGCTGTTTTTTCTGTTGTTTTTGTTATTTTTAGAATTAAAATGTTATGTGAGAAAGACGTAATAAACTCAAATGTGAATATATAAATATATATGACACACGGCTCCGGGGGTGAACAAAGGCCTCCTGTAGCGAGAATTGATACGTTTTTGTAAGAAAAATATCCATATTCAAAACGTAATAATCACTTTAATCTAGCTTGCGCTCACTGTTGTACACGGAAGCAGCTCCAGGCGGATGACGTATGAGGTTGGCTTTGCGCACTCAGAAGCGACGCACACGGAAACGCAGCAGAGAGATCAAAACAAAACAACGGTCACTAATTAGAAGTACAAAACGAGAATTTGTAAAGAAGAATGTCTTCTTACAAAAACGCATCAATTCGCTACAGGAGTCCTTTATTCAACCCCCGGAGCTGTGTGAGACGCTTTGTTTTAATGGATGGGCGCTTTTTATTTAACTTATTTTGGACTGATGCATGCAACACCCGCTGAGTGGCATTAAACAGCTTGAAAGATCAAAGACCATTTTTAATATAACTCTGACTGGATTCATCAGAAAGAAGAAAGTCATATACACCTAGGATGGCTCTGGGGTGAGTAAAACACAGCCGATTTTTCATTTTTGGGTGAACTAATCCTTTAAGTCAGCAAGTACAGAAAAAATCATTATTTCAACTACTTTAATGCAGTAATTTGTCTGTTGTTAAAACATGTTGATCTGCTTTATCAATGCAGAAATGTTTTCCAAAAACACCTGCAATTGCTACAAAAGAAGCGGGTCAACAAAAGTCAAGGGTCAAGAGCCCAACTAAAGCAAACGCTGATCTCCATGATAGTGACCTCAAACAAACATTTCGTTTGAGGCATCCTAGCGAATCCATGCGTTTTTTGTAGGAGAAATATCCATATTTCAAATGTCATAAACACTTTTTTCTCTCACTTCCGCTGACTGTCGTACGCGGAAGCCGTTCTAGCGGATGACGTAGGACATATGCGTTACATGATTATTGATAGGGATGCACCGATACCACTTTTTCCAGTACTCGCCCGATACCAATACTTTTATTTTGGGTACTTGCCGATACCGAGTACCGATACCGATATTTTTATTGCATTTGTACATTTTTTAAATATTTGATGAATGCGAAGAGAGAACAAAACAAAATGCTGGTCATGAATTAGAAGCACAAAACGAGGATTTGTAAAGAAAACCGTCTAAGGATTTCGATATAAGCCAAGAGGAGACTGGTTTTCCTTAGCTAAAGTAAGGAAACTTTGCTTCCTTTGCTCCTGCATTTCTCAGAGGCGCGCACACGACACCTACATCTTACATCATCCGCCTGAACGGCTTCCGCATACGACAGTCAGCGGAAGTGAGAAAAAAGTGTTTATTATGTTTGAAAATATGGATACTTATCTTACAAAAACGCATGGATTCGCTACAGGATGCCTTTATTCCCCCCCTGTCGTTTTGAATCAGCATAGCGTTTCAATATTTTAGTGAATGTTGAGCTATGCTCTGATTTAAAATTATAATTTGGTCAGCTCCTGAAATGGGTCATACCGTTCATATTACACAGCAATATAAGTAAATAGAAACTCGGTTGATAGAAGGACGCAGTTATTGCATAGATGGAGCAAGAACAATGTAAGTGTCTAAAATACATGCACACAGTTCTGATGAATGGTAAAAATCGCCCTCTTTAACAGTGCAGTTAAACTAAATGTACGAAGCTAAAATAACCAACATTAACAACAACATTGAAATAAGAACGCATGCATTTTTACGTGCATCTGGCTGATAGATCAACCATGATTTATCGGTCAATCAGATGCATTTTAAATCACTTTTTCTGTGTGCGTTCTTTGGATGTGTGTGCACATGGGCGAAGAAACAAGGTAGTCTATGTATGACCAGACGATTTATTCATATCCAAAACGAGACGATGTTAACATGCAGTGCATGTTTCATTCATACTCGAAGCAGGAGGGCCAGGGTTGCCAGGTTTTCACAACAAAACCCGCCCAATTGCTATTCAAAACTAGCCCAAAAATAGCCCAATCGCATTTCGAGGGGGGCTCCCCGTTAAAAATCGCGTAAAATACACGTTTTTGGCGGGGTTCCCCTGGGAAAATTCGCACTCCAGGAGCTAAATATCA